GCCCCGGAAGAAGAATGCCCCTGACAAAAGGCACTGGATCCTGATGGATGTACAGGTACAATCTATTCCCTGACTCAAGAGCCATGACAGGCAAGGTGACAGCAAATGTATTCATTCCATAAATAAATATTCAGCCTCTGTCAGGCACTGTGTTAGGTAATGAGGTTACAATGAGCATCAAAACAGGCACACACCTTTTTTCTGTGACACTCACAGACCTGCAGGGACTGGAGCTCAGTCAAATCCAACCCTAGAGATATGTGTTTAAGGATGTTACTGTCTAGGAAAGGAGCTACAAAAGTAAGGAATGGGAAGGACCAGACTATGGAGGTGGGACAGAAAAGCTCCCTGTGGATGAGACCCAGAGGATGAATGGGAGTTGGTCAGGCAAACAGACGGAGGCTTCATGGTTATGACCCAAAGCAGAAAGGAAATAAGCCTGTTTTGGGGACCAAAAGCCAGTGGGTTCAGAGGCCAGAGGAATAGAGGGTGAGGGGATGGGACACTGGAGAGGAAAGTGGCAGGTGCAAGACTGTGCGAATCCCTGCGGGTTCCCTTTCCTTCGGAGCAACTGCAGCAGAGCAGACTGGATGTTTACGGGGCCAGTGGTGCCAAATCTCCCAAGGTCTCATACTCCCACAGCCACCAGGGAGGGAAGGACAGCAGCAACTAGAGGGCTGGCTGGTCAGGGCCCTGTTGCCAAAAACACCTCTACTTTCTCTGTCCTCTTCATTCCCAGTCTCCAAGCAGTCTTGTCTTCTCCTGTCACCTCAAGAGCGGTCTTTCTGATGGGTCTCATTAGAAACCTTTCCTCCTGCATGGCTCGGTCTTGGACGTTTCTTTTGCCCATTTCCCTTTCTGGGAAAGAGCTCTCCCATACAACTCCCCAGCCTCTGAGGTCCAACCAGGTCCCAGGCATGTAGGGAGCCTGGCCCAGGCCCAGCAGCGGGTTCTGGACTCCACTTATTGAGGGAAGAGCTCCCATAGACCTTGAAGGGAGCCAGGCTTCCCACACGCCCAGCTCTGAGAGGTGTCCCAAGTGATGTCTCCAGCAGGTGGCCTCCATGTCCAGTGTGTTGTCCATCCTCACCTCCCTTAGACAGCACCCGCTCTAACCAACCACCTGGCCAGCCTTGCACTGGAGATGGCCTCAGGACCCACCTGGTGCCCACCCTAAGGCTCTTCATTCTCTACATCACCTCAAACTGTAGCAGGCTACAAACTGACCTGGGTCCCCATTCCAGCACCGTCATCCACTTGGGCAGGCTCCTCAACCTCTGAGCCCACCTCCTCACAGTCAAATGGAGGTTTTCCTAGTCTACCTCGGAGGTACCATGCCTGACACATAGCAGGCGCTCAAAAGTGTTGTTGAACATACCTTGTTTTTCTGCCCTATTGTTGCTTCCTTTATTGAGGTCCCTTGAGGCTGTCTGTCAAGGGCAGCGATTGCCATTGGCTTGAAGGGTGGAGGCAGTGGGTGCAATGGATTTGACTGTGAGGAGGTGGGCTCAGAGGTTGAGGAGCCTGCCCAAGTGGATGACGGTGCTGGAATGGGGACCCAGGTCAGTTTGTAGCCACCTCCCTGTACTGCTCTCAAGGAGCTCCTGCCTGCTAAGTACTGTGGCTTAGGCACCTAGCCCAGCTTGTGGGGTGATTCAGAAATGGCTTCCCAGAGGGACCTACGAGGAAGGGGAAGCTTCCAGCAGAATTAGGAGTTGCTTGGAAGGAGAGAAAAGGTGGGGGTTGTATGTGGAAGGTTAGGATGACTGGAGCCTAGGGGCAGGGTCCTGTGGGGGAAACGTGGCAGAAAGTAGACTAAGGGGACATCCAGAGTCAGAGTCCAGGACAGCCAGGCAGCAGCCTCTCATCACCACCTTGAGCAATCAATAGGCCCAAATTATAAAGAGCTCAGCCAGCATGGCAGGGCTGGGCTTAGAGCCCAGGGTTCTGTCTCAGGCTTGTCCCAATAACCCACAGCAGCCCATGGCCGTGGAGAAACCTTTGCACTGCTCACTATTGCTGAAGAACCTCTGCAGGGAGAGCAGAACTCTCTCTGAGTGCTGGGGACCCTGGAAGTACAGCAACCAGGATACATGCACCCCACCCTGGCTCCAACCTGGGTTACATACACCCCACCCCAACTCCAACCTGGGATACATGCACCCTACCCTGGCTCCAAGCTGTGGTACATACAACCCATCCAGCTCCAACCTGGGTTACATACACCCTACCCTGGCTCCAACCTAGGGTACATACACCCCTCCCCAACTCCAACCTGGGTTACATACACCCTACCCTGGCTCCAAGCTGTGGTACATACACCCCATCCAGCTCCAACCTGGGGTACATGCATTCCACCTGGCTCCACCCGGGGAGCACCTGGCTCCCTGAGGCCCGGGAGGTGACACACAGCTGAGGAGCGCTCTGTGATTTATACAATCTCTCTCCTCCATGAGGTTCCCTGTCCCCATCACACAGGTTTGGAAACAGGCCCATGGAGGTGTGTGATTTACCCAGTCACGCAGTGGGTCGGCATCAAGGAACCCAGTGTGTGCTTTCAGCTACTACACAGTGACTTCTACCCAGGCCCCCTGTCACAGGAGAGGGGCCTCTGCTAAAGATAAGGAGATAAGATTAGGAGGGCTCAGGCCATCAACTGGAGCTTGTGAAAGGGGTTGCCAAAGCAAAGTGGTTGTTTCAAGAGCAACTGTTGGGCTGGTAGCGTTGCCGTGGGAGGAGGAGGCTGTGGAGTGCACTGGGCAGGGTTTCAGTAGGGTGTGGGGGTCAGGGAGGAGAAAGGACACTTGGAACAGCCTCCCTGGGAGTCTGGAGCAGGCATGGGGTCCACATTGAGGAAGGAATGGACGTGTCCTCCTGAAGAAGGGGCGAGGACACGCAGGCTGCTGGCCGCATTGGTGGTGACTCTGGAACTGTCTCAGGGATGAGCACGCGCTCTCCAGGCAGCCAAGATGAGGTCAGAGGCAAAGGACGAACTTGGCTCATCCAGGGCAGGGAACTGCAGGAGGAAGGCTTAGGTGCAGAGAGGATGGGCCCTGTCAGAAGGCTGACAGGGATGCATTCTGCACTTAAGGTGCAAATGGAGGCTCACCCAAGGTCATGAAGCTAGTGACAGGGCTGGATTCAACCCAGGCCAATCAGACCCTGGTGCAGCACACTGCCTCTAAAGAAGCTACTTCTCACCAAGCCCAGTAGGAACTCAGAATTGAAACCTACTTCTCAGAGTAAACCTACTACTGATTGGCACTGAAGAAACACCAAGAGAATAAAGCCCATGGTGGGTGCTTACTTTTAGGCTCCACAGCAGCTCACTTGGCTGGGTGTTTCACCTGTGACATCTCACTGTGTCCCCAAAATGGCCCATGAGGGATTTCACTGCCAGGCCCTGCCTCGGCCACAGCCTCACACTTTCCCTGGCACCTTGGAGGGAGTGAGTAGGGCTAGGGGATAAGGAGAGGAGCCAAATCATTCATCACAGATCATTTATTCACTCAGCAAACACCTGCTAAGCACCTACTAAATGCTGGGCTTTGAGCTGGGTCTGGGGGTGTGTATAACAGTAAGGCAGATTCAGTTTTTGCCCTGTTGTGGGAGGAGAGGCACCTTGCCAATGTTCTGGCCCAGCTCTTATTCTAGGGATGTGAAAACTGAGGCCTGGAGAGGGAAAGTGGCTTGCCCAAGGCCACGCAGCCAGGTGGTGGTGACTGAGGTGCACTGCTCCTGTCAGCCAACAAATATCCATTGAGCAACACCTGTGTCCCAGGCGCTGCTCTGGGCCCTGGGAGAAGTGCATCAGTGGGCTTGGTAGTAGAGGGTAGGGACGGAGTGAAGGGTAGGCAAGAAGAATGTCCCTAGGCTGGCAGGGGGTGGGGTGGGAGGTTTCAGTCTCAAAACTCCCCTGAAAACCAGAGGGAAGTTCCAGAACTCCACCCAAGAGGCTGGGTTTCTGGGGCCCAGAGCTGCCCTCCCCCACCCTAGAATGGGCTATAAAAGTCCCTTCCAAGCTACGTCCAGAGAAGAGCAGGAGGAGGTGAGAGGCCAGCTGGGGGTCCTCACAGTGAGAGGGGCGCAGAGGACCCTCCCTCGCAGGTTGTGAATGTCACTCACATCCCAGCTGGCGAAGCCTCACTGCAGACATGCATCTGCTTCCAGCCTTGGCAGGGGTCCTGGCCACACTCATCCTCGCACAGCCCGGTGAGGGCACTGACACAGGTAATAGCCCCTAGACAGCCAAGGAGGAGGGAAGGGAAATGGAAGGGGAAGCACTTGGGATTTGATGGAGGTCTTGTGGCTCGCTGAACCCTGAGTCCCCATCTCTTTGAACAGACTCTCTTGGGGCAGTGGAGACCTCGGTCCTGAGGGACTGCATAGCAGAGGCCAAGCTGCGAGTGGATGCTGCCTACAATTGGACCCAGAAGAGGTGGACTTGGGTCTGGGGGCTGCATGGGCCTGGGAGGATCAGTGAGGGGCATGGGCGCCAGCCAAGGTCCTCTCACCCATCACCCACCTCTGGACCCTATGAACCTCTCCTGTTGGTAGAGCCTCCCTTCCATCCATCCTTCTGTCCGCTTGCCCTGTCCTGACTGTCCCCCAGGACTGGGCGTCTGCTGGGTGGGTCTGCACCCTCTCTCCAGCCCTCACTTCTCCTCTCCTGGGCAGCATCAAGCAGCGGCTTCGCAGCGGCTCAGCCAGCCCCATGGACCTCCTGTCCTACTTCAAGCAACCGGTAGCAGCCACCAGGACAGTTGTTCAGGCCGCAGATTATATGCATGTGGCCTTGGGGCTGCTTGAAGAGAAGTTACAACCCCAGCGGTCCGGACCCTTCAATGTCACTGGTACTCTGATCCCCACTGAGCCCCCTGGGTCTGACCTGGCCTGGAGTAGAAGGAAGCCAGGAGAGGGAGGCAGGGTGCACAGGCTTGGGGTGTGGGGAGGACAGAGGGTAAAGGGATGGGAGGTACAGTGCAGGCCAACTCAGGCCTGCCCACCTGCCTTCCCACAGATGTGCTAACAGAACCACAGCTGCGGCTGCTGTCCCAGGCCAGTGGCTGTGCTCTCCAGGACCAGGCCGAGCGCTGCAGCAACAAGTACCGCACCATCACTGGACGATGCAACAACAAGTATGTGCGGGGGGCTGCCCCTGCTTGGGGACCCCTCCCTTCCTGCACCCACCCTCTCCCTCCATGCTGAGCCATCTCCAGGCTCTGCCCACTGCTGACCTACCCCACCCATGGCTGCAGGAGGAGACCCTGGCTAGGGGCCTCCAACCAGGCTCTGGCTCGCTGGCTGCCCGCCGAGTATGAGGATGGGCTGTCGCTGCCCTTTGGCTGGACCCCCGGCAGGAGGCGCAATGGCTTCCTTCTTCCTCTTGTGAGTTGGGGCTGAGGGCGTGGGAGGTTGCTTGATCTCTTAAATGTGGGGAGTAAAACACAGCCCAGAGTCAGCCAGGCAGGGCTTGAACTCAGGCCCTTCCACTGACCAGCGCAGTGACTTGTGGCAAATAATACAGCTTTCTGAGGCTTAGTTTCCTCATCTGTAAAATGGCCCTAAAACCTACCTCGTAGAATATTGTGTGAATATGGAAGTCCTCCGTATCAATAGCTATATAGGACGTGCTCTATTCATGCTAACCATTACGGTGTTGTAGAGTTTTTTCTGAGAAAATCAGTGTCAAGTCTTGCTAAATATAAATGGCTCTATACCTTAATCTGACTTTATCTATTGATCTGTTTCACATTTATCAAGTCATCAGTTTTTTATTGATATATCAATATAGCGGTCTATCATCTACCCATCTATCAACGTCTATTAATTAATTTTCTTCTATCCATCCTTCCATCCACTGACTCAGTACTCCCTACATGCATTATCCATCACCTGGCAACCAGCCCGTGCACCTGTGAATCAGTGCTATCGTCTGGGTAGCTATCAGTCTATAAATTGATCTATCTCTTTGATCTGCCTTCCCCTCTGGAAGAGCTGGTGAGGTCTGAGCCAGTCAACCTGGCCCCTCTCCTTCTCTTTACCACCAGAATCCTCAGGAGCCCAGCCAGAAACCATCCTTCTAGGAATCAGAGCAGGAGGTGGCTACATCTCCAGGGACGAAGGGGGCATGGAGGGCAGAGAGGGGAGGCTGTCAGTTCCAGCAGGGCAGCTGCTGCTCCCTGAGTCCTGGGTTGGCTCTAATACCTTGTGGAGTCAGGGAGCCCATGCCCTGTGCTGACGTTATTTCCCCCCCAGGTCCGGGCTGTCTCCAACCAGATTGTGCGCTTCCCCAGCGAGAGACTGACCTCCGATCGTGGCCGGGCCCTCATGTTCATGCAGTGGGGCCAGTTCATTGACCATGACCTGGACTTCTCCCCGGAGTCCCCGGCCAGAGTGGCCTTCACTGAGGGGGTCGACTGTGAGAAGACCTGTGCCCAGCTGCCCCCCTGCTTTCCCATCAAGGTACCCTCAGCCAATCCCCCACGCCCCTGTGTGGCCTCCCCCAAAGGCAAGGTGCTGGGGGTGGGGATCTGGAAGACTGGAGCACCATCCTTAAGCAGCTGCCTGTGGAGCTGGGGTATGAGACAGAGACACAAGAAACAGCTGAGCAGAGAGCCTGCACCGTGTGTGTTTGAGAGGTGGGGGTAGGGCAATCTGCCAGGAGGCTCAGGTCAGGCTTCATGGGGTGGGAAGCCCTCGAGACAGGTCTTGACCCATGGGTCTGAATCCAACAGGGGAAGCCTCTGGGCCCCTGCTTTTGGCAACCTAAGGGCCTCTTAGCTCTTGCCCTTCTCTCCTTCCCAGAGTGGTCTAAGGGCCCTGCAGCTCTTGCCAACTTCTTGGGCTTGGGCTGTGAGTAGGGTCCTAACTTTCAGGCTGGAAGGCAAGGACAGCGTGGGGTGCTAGGGAAGAAAAGATAGAATCCAAGGAGCAGAGTCTCTGCTAGGGACATAGGGTTGACACACATGCACACACACTGTCACATACACACATGTACACACACAGTCACCCTTAATAGGTGGGGCCACATTCATGAGGGATGACATGTGAGGGCCTCTGGATGGCCTCTCCCTGTAGCAATCTTATCTATTCCTCAATCCCTGGCTTAGGGGCACCTCCTCTGGGGAGCCTTCTCAGATCTTCCTTTTATACTTTTAACACATGGCCTCCCCTCCTCTCTCCTCTTTCTCTTCTTTCTCTTCTTTCTTGCTTTCTTCCTTTCCTTCCTTCCTTCCTTCCTTGCTTTCTTGCTTTCTTTCTTTTTCTTTTCTTCTTTCTCTTTCTTCTTTCTATTACTATTATTCTGCGACAGAGTCTCGCTCTGTTGTCCAGACTGTAGTTCAGAGGTGCAATCTCAGCTCACTGAAACCTCTGCCTCCTGGGTTCAAGTAATTCTCATGCCTCAGCCTAGTGAGTAGCTGGGATTACAGGCACGCGCCACCATGTCTGGTTAATTTTTGTATTTTTAGTAGAGATGGGGTTTCACACGTTGACAAGGCTGATCTCAAACTTCTGGCCTCATGTAATCCACCTGCCTCGGCCTCCCAAAGTGCCAGGATTTCAGGCGTGAGCCACCACGCCCGGCCCACATATGGTTTTTCTATCAAGCACAGCAGATGCCACTTCAACCTAGTTTCTTCACTCCATGTGTGTGTTTTTTTCACTGAACTGCCAGCTTCCTGCAACCTTTCCTGTGTTTTTTGACCTTCATAGTTTCCAAAGCACCAAGCAAGAAAGGGGCTTAGAAAAGGTCTGTCGAACTGAACAGAATTAAATAAGCTCAAGCCTGAGAGTCAAGAGAACTAAGTTCTAATCCCACCTTTCCTGCTAACTAGTTGTCACTTCCCTTCTCTGAGGCTGTTTTCCTTGCTGTAAAATGAGGATCGAGATTGTTTCCAAAGCCTCATTCATTCCTAACCTTTTGAGACTCTATGAAGCAAGATGCTAAGGACACTCAGACTGAGCATGAGCCTGGGTGAGTCAAGGAGGGCTTCCTGGAGGAAGGGAGTTTTAAGCAAGGTTTTGAGAGAGGTGGGACATGAGGGAGAGAAGTGAGTCTACTATTGAAGGCGCCCCATGTCACTGGCTCCTCTTCCATCTCAGATACCACCCAATGACCCCCGCATCAAGAACCAGCGTGACTGCATCCCCTTCTTCCGCTCGGCACCCTCATGCCCCCAAAACAAAAACAGAGTCCGCAACCAGATCAACGCGCTCACCTCCTTCGTGGACGCCAGCATGGTGTATGGCAGTGAGGTCTCCCTCTCGCTGCGGCTCCGCAACCGGACCAACTATCTGGGGCTGCTGGCCGTCAACCAGCGCTTCCAAGACAACGGCCGGGCCCTGCTGCCCTTCGACAACCTGCGTGACGACCCCTGTCTCCTCACCAACCGCTCGGCGCGCATCCCCTGCTTCCTGGCAGGTCAGACTGGGAGGAAGGTGGTGTCTTCCCAGGAAACAGCCATCCCTGGGGTCCCGATTGGGAAGTCATGGTGGGATGTGGTGAAGGTACATGGTTTGGAACCTCAGTATTAGGCACACAACAGGCATAGATCTGTGCACAGTTATCACAGAATCAGAACGCTGGAGTCCCTTTCCAAGCTCCCTGTGTGTGCCCAGAGATAACTGCTTAACCATCTCTGGTGAGAAGGCTCTCACCACCTGTATGGTGCCCCAGCTCAGCCACAGGCAGCTCCGACTGTTAGAAAGGTCTCCTTATTTTGATCAAATATTCACCTATTCCCCTTAATCATGCTTCTGGAACCTCAGAAAAGACCCTGTCTCTCTTTCACACTGGAATACCTCAAAGTAGCTGTTACTTCCATCTCCACGTTTTTCCTCTTCTCTGGGATAAATTTCCTTAGTTCCTCCCTGTCCCCACCTGTTGCTAGACAGTTAATATCTTCTTCTGGAAGCATAATTTGAGCTCTCTTCAGGGTCTTTTGCCCCGTGTACATGGTTACAAAAATAATGGTAGTCATTTCTCATTGAGATATTTATTTATTTTATTATTATTTTTTAAGACTGAGTCTCACTCTGTCGCCCAGGCTGGAGTGCAGTGGTGCGACCTCAGCTCACTGCAACCTCCACCTCCTGGGTTCAAGTGATTCCCCTGCCTCAGCCTCCCGAGTAGCTGGGATTACAGGCGCCTGCCACCACATCTGGCTAATTTTTGTATTTTTAGT